TTAGTTTTTACACTTATCATTATTAAATTAAAATATAAAAATTTATATATTAAAGTTAAAATAAAAATTTAAAATATATAAATTATATGTAAAATTATGCAAAGAATTGTTTTTATTAAAGAGTCAAATATAGTTTACTTAATTTTTTTTTTTTTTTAGTATTAAGATGACCTCTTTGGTCTTTTGATTTTTATTAATCACTTATCAGTATTGTGGTTCAATAAACCACTACAGAAGAGTGTACAATTGGCTACATATGTAACTTTTCTATATTACCTATTTAACGAGTCCACCCGAAGATTCCCTACTAATTGCCGTACCTAACACCCCTGCTTGGATGTTCTACTTTAAACACTCTGAACCTGTAATCTGTATTAATATCACTGGTCATCACTGATGTACCAGATCATTGTCCACAACCTTAGGACTAATTTATCCTCAAGGTAAACCCCCCAGAGCCTTCTGTACCTATTTTTACAGCTAACCTAGGTATCGCTATGGCAGAACCAACACTTGTGGTTAGGGCTAACCATTAAACTGCTATGCCTTTGTAGAGTTCACTTAGACCCCAGCATCTACTTTACAGTATAACCTCAGTACTTTAGTATACCCCTGCCTTTTGTCCAGCCTTTTTATCAAACTCCCAATCCAGATAGCCCATGTAGAACTATGACTAGTCTATCAGTATATCGGGTTGGCCTAATATCCTTTTCCTCTGGTTCGTTCTGGCGGCCTGGTTGGTAGTACCTCTGAGCCACCCAACCCAGAGGTTCTTGCCCGTCCAGCTACTATGACCAGGTACTACGACCTTGGTATCCGTTTCTCTGGGTTAGCCTTTACAGTAAGGCATCAAAGATCCAGTTACCTCTCTACTTGGGTTTTCCCAAATGGACTTCTTGTTACCAAATTTTAACGGATTTACATGGCCACAAGGACTTATCTAGTGTTTGCACTGCCTGATTTGTCGGTTTGCATTCCTCTGTGTAATGCCATACTTATACAGATGCCCCATAACCTGCCAGTCATGCTGGTGTAACTGCCATTACAGGTATCCTAACCTAATCGTTAGTAACAGTTACCGTAATATGAATATTACATAGGTGATTATCCAAATTTTCACCATCGATGGGATTTAAACACTCAACCTACCACTTGGAGGGTTGACAACCTGACCACTTCACTAGGTTGCCACACCTTTGTAATTGCTGGATTGTTTAATATATACTCTAAATGTTTTAATAAAGATATTGTAAATGCTTTTTTTGTAGATATAAATACAGATAGTACCTTTTGAGAGCAAATAGGCACATCATGTTGATATACTGTAAGTAGAGGTAATCTATGCCTCTATTTATACATACATCTAATATTCTTAATAACATCTTCTTTGCAAAATTTAGAATACATAATAGGCTCTCATATGTGCTAGTTGCTAAATATAATATAATATACCTAGTGAAAATCATCTTCATTCAGAATTGAGTCAGTCCCAAATGAAAATTTTGTAATTATAACCATTCTATATGAAATATATATATTTTTTTATTATAAACTTAGATTCTAGCCTTAACTCTAATTCTAAACCCTAATTCCACAAACATAATTACAAAATTTCCATTTGAGTAGTAATTTTGAATCAAAATGACTTCAATTTAGGTACAACAATAAATATATATACAGACTTTCTAATATAAAGATTTCATAAAATATTACTTACATATTGTGAACTCTGTATTCCAAACATATAAGTTTGCAGATGTAAAATTTGAAAAGTATAGTCTATACTCTCTATCGAATCTGTTAAATTCTGAAGATATTTTTTCTAATATTTCATTACTCACAGAGTCTTTCTCAATGTCATTAATTAATAGTACATTGTACATATCATCTGTAAAGTACATATTTGAATTAATGTATTTAAATTCCTTTAAAACAATGTAAAAAAAAACAAAATGCATAAAATTTTATAATTAAACATTTAAATGCTATAAATCATAGATTGAAAGAAAAAAAAAACCTAACCTTATCTACTCTAGTTTCTTTAATTTTGTCTTTAGCAGTATCTCTAATTTCATCAGTTTCATCAACTTCGTCTATTTCTTCAATTTGATCTATTTCTTCAATTTGGTCTATTTCTTTAATTTGGTCTATTTCTTTAATTTGATCTATTTCTTCAATTTGATCTATTTCTTCAATTTGGTCTATTTCTTCAATTTGGTTTATTTCTTCAATTTGGTCTATTTCTTCAATTTGGTCTATTTCTTCATCATTAATTTCAATCTCACTAGTTTCTTCAAAAAATTTCACATCTGAAAAATCTCTTATATTTATTTCTTGTGATTTTTTTGACTTTTTGTGCAACTTGAAATATAAGAACTGTAAGAGGATTTGGAAGTTTTATTTATTCATTTCATAAAATAGACTAAGTTTTTTTATTGTATTTGTTAAAAATTTAATTCGAAAATAAAAAGTACATACAAATATAAGTGATATAATTTAATTAGCTAAAAATATTTTATATATAATAATATTTTAAAAAGTGATGTGTAATATTATAATAATCTAATACAGCTAATAAGATATATATAAATTACTTTCTTGTAAGATATTTTTGTTACTAATTATCATGGCTCCTAAGAAAAAATTCACATGTAAATTAATATGTTTAAAGGTTCTTTTAGTCTTTTATTAAATATACTAAATAATTTTTGTATAGATACAAGAAAGAAGCAAACACTATCTAAAAAAGAAACATTTGTTAAAAAAGCAATTTTTATTTGAAAAAAAACTCCTATTAAAAAAGAAGCTCTAGTTAAAGAAGCAGTTCCAGTTAGAGAAACAGCTCCAGTTAGAGAAATAACTTTAGTTAGAGAAGCAGCTTCTATTAGAACTCGAAGACATTCTTTTATTAGTATGTTATTTTTTAATATATTCTTATAAATATCATTACAAGTGAGTATAAAAAAATATATATATATAATTATTTCTCTATATAGTCACTTTTATTATATGTAATCACATTTATGTTTAAGTCAAACTATGATTTAATTTATAAGAAAAAAACTTCCATATAGGTATAACTCTTTATAAACATATTTTTAAAAAATTTATTATTGCTATGTGCTCAACTATGTAATTGTATAAGAGAATGATTGTATTACTAATTTATAATACTTTTCTTGATGTATATTACTAGACTTTGGTTCTAAAACAAATGAAGAAGAATAAAAAATTAAAAACCCAATTGAAGAAATTATAGATAATGATGATAATTTAAGAGAGAATGATTTAAGAAAGGATGATTTAAAGAAGAATGATTTAATGAAAAATGATTTAAGAAATAATGATTTAAAGGAAGATAATAGTTATACAGAGGCATCAAATACATATTAGATATATAATTTATACAAGTTTTTAAATATAAATGATTTATATTTAATTTTAGATAGTTTAAATTATTCTATCAATAATGGTATGATATTTTTATTTTAAAAAAATTATATATGAGTTAAGTTTGAATATATTAAATAAATCTTCCTTATAACAATCACTTTAGTTGACAATTTTAATTCTCTTAATAAGTTAATAATCAAAAAAATATCACATTTTACATTTTTAAAATCTATAAGAGAAGTCTTGCAACAGTGCTATTCTCACCTTCTTTAAGATCTGTAGAAGAAAACATAAAAAAATATGCTATATACAGCCATAGCAAATTCAAGTACATCATACTTAAATAATGATATGAAAGTTTTTTATAAGTTTTAGCTATCAATTTTGAACACCTCTATCAAGAATAAACCTACTCTTAATTGATTTTTATTATTTGAAATAGGTATGTTCTTGATAAAAGTATCCAAAATTGATGGTCAAAGCCTATAATATTAATATATAACAATTTTACAATTTTACATCTTTTACTTTATCTTCAGAACCCTTTATTAAACTCAAAAATGTATCAAATTAATTTGAAGTTGGCTTATAGGTAGCAAATTATCTAAGAGTTCTAAATTTGGCAATTACTATCTATGAAGCAAAAGAATTTGAAATCTTAAATAATCATAAAATATGTCTAAAGACATATTGATACAGTTTTATATCAAATAATTTTTTTTTTGATATTAAGGTGAGCCCTTGCTTATATCTTTATTAATAATTTAAAATAGTTACATATATATATGCTATAGCCAAGGCCAACACTTGCAGTCA